TGGGTGCCTAGAAATAGTCTAAACTTCTAGTAAATGCCTGGTTCATTGTCCCATCATTATTAGCTGAAAATCCACTCCCTTGAGTCCAGTAATGAATTCAAGAAAGTGGATTTTCTGAAATTTTTTTTAAAAAAAAAAATTTTTTTTTTCGTGTTTGAAAAAAAAAATTTTTTCTGAAATTTTCTATTTGTATGTTGTTAGTGTAATAAAGACAGACAAGCCAAGACCTGTAGTTTCTTGAAAAATCTAGTATCCTGTGCAGAACAAAAGAATAACCAGTGGTCACAAACAGATAGCTTCTGTAACCCCATACAACCATCAATCTCAAGTAAAGATGCTTGAAATATTCTACAGACCTTCCAACTGGCTAAAAAATTTCTTCACTTCGGGGTTTTTTTCGTGTGAAATATATAACACCAACGTTTGCAGTGCATTTCTCAGTTTATTTGAAGCAGCTTCAACAAAAAAATCTTAAGGTAGAACTTCAAAACAAATTTTTAATGGACTCTATAAAGAATTCTAGGTGCAGAAGTTGTACGCCGCTTTCACTGGCGAGCGAAACCAAAACCAACTTAAATGAAAACAGAGAAGTTGAAAAGCGAGAGATAAAATTTTATTAATGCTCACAAATTACACAAAAAGAAATTTAATAAAATACTTAGAAATAAAATAAAACATAGGCAGTAAATTTTACCAAAACGGTGACAGAGAAAAGAAATAAAAACAGGCAAGCAAAAAACCTGCAAGTGACAAAAATATGTACCTGTTACGTGTTAAAAATGACATTGCTGGGGCAGAAAGTTGGAGAACGAGTGAACGAACAGTCAAAATAAAAGTAAGCAAAACACAGTCAGTTACACCAAAGAACTGTTCTCTTAAAAAATGCTACTTCGTCCTCAGATTTATCCCTTCAACATACTTTAAAATGGAATGGATATTTAAACCAATTCTGATAGTCTGACAAAATAACAATGTACAAAAACAATTTCTACAGCAGGTCAAAATTTCCTTCTTTCGGAAATGTGATAGCTAACTACAGTCCACAGAAATTTTTGTCTGATATTAAGCACAAAATTTGTTCATGCATACTATAAAACATCAGCAAAATGCCACCTGTATAACGAAAAAACTGCAAGGAAATTATCCAAAGAAAACTGATTCTTCACTTCCTGCCGTGGTCTGAAAAAGCTAAATGTTGAACAGGCAGAAAAAATTATAATAAAGCTAAAGTTGCACATATAAAGCAACGCCAAAAAACTTGCAGTAGATGATAGTAACAGTGAAAATATTTAACGGAGAGTGTTAGACTTGCTAATGGTCACTGTCGTTCAGTATTAAGTATCATATTTTATCAATGTTATAGCACCATTCCTTCAGCAAGGATAAAATAACATTAAAACCAATGGCTTTCTGATCCGGTGTGAAAACTTCAAAATTTTAATTCCAAAAAAACGACGTTTTACCCCCTGCAACACAACCGACAGCTAAAGACAACAAATCGACTGATGCCTCCGTACAGTTTATTCTTACTCCTCAGTTTGTTAACACATTTCAACTACTAGTTCTAAACTGAACTAAATTTTTGTATTTAAATCAAGCATACATCTTCTCAAATCTCAAGGCCTTTTCACCACCATCTTTTCATTCCTCGATTTCGGGAGAGAGGGGGGGGGGGAGAAAAAAAACGCTTCACTTCAACATCTTCGTTGAACATATACCGCGACCACGTGCTCGACATTACTTTTAATTTAAAAACTAAAATATGGAACGGATAACAAAAGAAGATATAAGCTCAGAAAGAAAGAAAAAAACAATTCTTTTTTCAAATATCTTTTTCATCGTTTACTGTCCATAAGTAACATCCATTTGTCAAATAATCCAAAACTATTCATTTTTCTGGTGTTAAAGCCAATCCCATCACTCCTTAAACAGTACCTTTATACTGCTTCATTAGTTCATTCAGAACTCGGTTGCAGAGGCTCCTTAATGAAATAATTTCTCCCCAAATTGATTATAAAAATAATTTAGCTTCAACTGACAGCAACTTTTTACAGTCATGGTTTTACAATTCTTATCAAGCTCCTGTCAAGAAAAAAACTAAAAATATAGTTGAGTAACACGCTTAGCAAGAATTTCTGGAAACGAAAACATCTTTATTACTAATTTCAAACCACTCCCCAGCAAGTAATATTTGTATTCAAAATCAATTTTACTAAGAAAGAAAAATAAGACCTTTTAGATGACAAAGGACGATCGAAGCAGAAAGCATCTGAACGCAGACAACATCAACCAATATCTCAATTATCTAGTACGTAATCTGCCAACTTATGTAATTTATCATTTCAAGAATATTTTTTAAAAAAATAATTTAGTGTGAAAAACTCGATAAAGCAATGATCACATGATAGATGTAAATGGCTGCATAATCACTTGGTCAAGAAAAAATTCAAAAACTTGGCATTTTTTATTTTGGAAACAGTACTCCCGTAAATACCCACTGTGAAATTACAAATGACCATATGGGACTTTTCATACGAATTCAACAAGTCGGTAACCAAAAAAAACGTGTTAACAGATCCATAAAACTTGTTGCAAGAGTACGATAACGACCCATATATTAACAACCTAATACTTGATCTGTTCACTTAGTGACAATGACATTACTTCAGTGATTTCACGGGTAACTAACAAGCTTCACCAATGTTCACAGCCAACCGACTGGGCTGTCTAAAAAAAAAAAAAAAAACATTGATGAAACAACGCGGTGG